CTAGTCCGTTGCAAGAAGTGCAAGCGCAGCAACAGCAGCAGCAGCAGCAGCAGCAGCAGCAGCAGCAGCAGCAGCAGCAAAAGCGCAGCAGCAGCAGCAGCAGCAGCAGCAGCAGCAGCAACAGCAGCAGCAACAGCGGCAGCAACAGCAGCAGCAACAGCAGCAGCAACCAGCAGCAGCAGCAGCGCTGCTGCAGCAGCAGCAGCAGTGGCAGCAGTAGCAGTGGCAGTAGCAGTAGCAGTAGCAGTAGCAGTAGCAGAAGCAGTAGCAGTAGCAGTAGCAGTAGCAGTAGCAGTAGCAGTCGCGGCAGCAGCAGTAGCAGTAGCAGTAGTCGGTGGTCGTACGACGAAAGTAGCAGTCGCAGTGGCCAGGATCCGTTCTCCCACGAATCACGAGTCCGGAATGGTTTCGGTATGATCTCTCGCGTACCCGATGCTTTCAAACAGAAAAGGCAAGACTGTTCGGTTCATGCACTTAAGCCTTTCAAGGTCGTTGAGAGGCACGAGGTCCCCCTGAGTCACATGCCCAAGTGCAGGCACGATGCCGGGGGCCTCGTTTCTGCCGCCCCAGAGGGGCCGAAGACGGAGCTCCCCATCAGCGTGTGGCTCAATGAGCTTTCCTGCAGTTTCTCTTTGGGAAAGAAGTGCTTCCAAAACGTAGCAACTTGAACAAGGCCCTGCTGTTCTTCTGGAGCAGCTGCAGCCTTAGAAGAGATCTGAAGTCGTATGGGTTGCAGCTGGCAATTGTTGAGGTTTCGGCGGAATCTGTGCCGGAAGCCGCTGCGACTCGGCGGTCGTGACCTTGGAGAGTCAATGGCAAAAACCGCGTCCTGTACACACAGTGACAGCGGAAGGCCCAGTGAGTCTGGCCAGGGTGGAGGAGCTGTGTCGACGGCTTAGAAGCTAGTCGTGGATGCACTCGGCACCAGCTTTTCGTCAGATCTTTGATTTCCGGTTGCCTTGCTCAGGTGAAATCCTGGCAATCGGAGAAGGGAGCCCTTCGGAGGTCGAACCTGGGGACTGTAACAAAACAGACGACGCCGAATGCCCCGAAGAGCTTTTCCGCTTTTCCTCGTTGTGCAAAGTTTCCTAGTGTGAAGCCACCCAAGCTACGAACGTGTTGGTCAAACCATGCCCATGTGTGATCGTGCGTGCGAGCTCTTTGCTATCAGGAGCATCCTGGCGTGATGAACAATGGCTTTTCGATTAATTTTGTCCCTGTGCTGCTGCAGGCGGGAAACAAGGGTGAAGGGAATTTTGTCCAGAGAAGAAGCAGAGATAAACTCGAAATACTTAAATATGCCGGACATGTAGATCTCACGAAAGGCACAAGCCCCGAACGAGTAAGCCTCTACGGCTTACGAATCCAAAAAAAAAGCCGGGGCCTCGTGGGCGAACCCGCGCCAACGGTGATAGTCTGGTCTCTGAGTGTCTCTGAGTTCTCTTTTAGCTCAGGTGACTATGCTATGGTGATGGAATCTCCCGGGCAGACTGGCAATGACGCACAGTCACCGTGCCCTACAAACTCCAAAAAAGATCCTTTTATCCCGGTAATGCAGGCGCTGTGCCAACAACGAAAAAGAAAAGATGGCCAGCAGAATTTTAAAGCAAGTGCTTGGGCAATCCATGGTACGACAGTCTGTGCGCATGTACCTCCCATAGGCCTGCTATTGTAGCACTGTCGGTACATACAGCTTATCCTGTGTGTTGCTGTTACAAAACTCAGATAGAAATGGAGCAGTTCCACCACAATAGGCCCACCTCTGCTCCTCCGCGCACAGCCTGTGCACGAAAGATCGGCTTGTCCATTTCTCATCCACTTGATTTTTTGGTCTGCGCCGACTTGCGCACTGCAGTGCAGGCTGCGGAAATGTGGAGCAACAAGAGCTGCCGAGGGTAAGATGTCGTGAGCATTTCTTTCACCCCGATGCTCCTACATTTCACCGGCTTCCTCACGCACTTCAAAGCAAGTTGGCATGCTGGCATGTGATGTGTAGCAGAAGGCCGTCCTGGAGCTCTTCGCAAGAACTTAATCAGCTTGAATCAACGGGTATTCTTTGGTGTTTGTAGTAGTACTTCTTCATGCTGCCACGTCGCATGACCAGCGACACCAAGTTGGAGAAAGAGGCCTGCCAACAAAAATCTTAAAAAAAGGTTACACACCTTTTGGGCTGGTTGGGCGCAGCCTGCGCAGTCCAGAAAGGCATATGCATTGCCAAAGGTGTGACAATTCGTCAGGTGGGGGACCTGCCAACAAAAAATCTATATACATGTGGGGCAGCTGTGCTGCCTTCAGTTTCCGATGTTCGATCCTGCATTGTAGTTGACATAGAGATGATGAGAGATCCATTTTCGGGAAGAGGGTTATATGACTATATATGGTTATGTCGTTTCCTTTCGATGTGATGCTGTGGACCGCATGATGGAAGTTAGCCCTGAACGGCTTACTCCCAAGTGCTGTTTCCTTTGTGGCGAGTCAGGGCCAGGCGGGCTCGTGCATGTGGAACCGGCCCCTGCCATCCTGTCATCCTGTCCAGCGCGGGATCTTCATGACGACCATCTCACAGTTGGCGCGGACACGTAGAGCGGCAACTCTGCAGATCCGGCAAGTTTCGCAGAAGTCGGCCTGGTGGGTTAATTAGCCGGTATCCGTGTAACTTGTGGCAGTCTTGTCTGAGGCGATAGACTAGAGTGGTTTAGACTGCAGAGATGCAGCCATAAATTCTGATGGCATGTGCCTTGCACAGGAAGCACGAAGCTACAGGCCACAAGGCTGGTGACTCCGTTAGCAAGTGAAAGCTTCCAAATTTTGCTTTCCAACCTGCAGCTTCTATGCTCAACTCGAAGCTTGTGGAGCCTAGCACGATTGGTGCGAGGACCGCAGTTGCGGGGAGTGGCAACGAAGGCCTCGCAGAATCTTGAGCTAAAGGAAATGGATTCCATGGTCCATGCTCGCCCAGCAGTGGCCAACGGTGCACTGTAGCCAATGCACCGCACACCACCCTGCGGATCAACGAACAGTTTCATGAGATAACCATTCTCTCTTTCTCACTCTCTCTCTCTCTCTATGTCTCGCTGCGACTGCTGTCGCGTAATAGCATGATCTGACAAGAAAGCCTTGCAGTGCTCAAGTGCTCCAGCGCTCTGTTGGCCGCTGCACTCAGCTGGAACAGACTGTGGCTCCCTTCGGGGCCTCTCATTCGATGGTGTCAAATGGATCGGCGACTCCACAATTTCCACAGTCGAAGAACATGGCTGAAGATTGGCATGGCCGGTCATCTAACACCGTCTTATGTGCTTTTTGGGTTTGCAGCGCTGTGTAGCTGCTTTGAGGGTTCCTGCGAGTTCGGGAACTCGGACGCACCAGAATGGGCTGGTTTTTCACGTGGCGGAGCTTCGTGCCTGCTGTGCTTTGTGTCTGCCGTGCTTCGTGGTGTTTCGTTGTAGCCGCCAGATGCTTTCAAGCCTTCTCAGCGAGAGGAGGTCATCCTGGAGGTGGACGAAGCATGCTCTGAACTCTCCTGATGGAGTCCAAGCTCCAGTGCGGCCTAGCATGGCGCCGCAACCCTGCCTATAGGCAAGAGCAGACGAACCGATGTGATTGAATAATCATTTTCCAGGTATTCCCGAAAAGGTGCTGGACTTTGTGGGGGAGTGTTGTGCTGCTCCATTCATGTGCCCCTTGATTGGCCGAAGCCCTACACTGCGTCACACGCCAGTCGCCTTATGCTTCAGATCGTCTAAATAGGTGTAGGCTTTCCACAAGGCCAGAAGGAGGTCTGAAATCGCCGGCGCAAACCTCTATTTCACAGCCTTCCGGACTAGTCTAAGACTGTGAAGCGGTGTTCAAAGACGACGAGGCCTAAAGCACCAGAAGTTTTCGTGATTGGCGTGTGCATGTAATTCGCGATGTTTGACCTCACAGGATGCGAAACTGGGAGTTGTTTCCAGGCAGAGCATCAAGCAACCGACAGCGAATCCTGCAAAATTCCGTAAGTTCGACCAGGCGAGATGTTGAACGAATTGCTTGGTGCCGCGCTCTTTGACACAGACCTGCCGAACGATTGCTGACCGAAACAATACCGCACAGAAAAGGATGCTACAGCTCGGGTAGAGCAAGAGTATGGCTGCTGGCCACACATTTGTGCAGCACATGGCGTCATGAGGAATGCATCCGATTGTGCGATAGCCTATCTTAAGACAGCATTCGTGGCAAAAGACAGTGGCGTTGACACGAGATGGCCCTGTCGAAGTCGACAAGATGGAAAGGCACAGTACTAGAATGCGGTGGTGTTGCGACAGGTCATTTCCGCAGGACGGGGTTGAAAACTGTCAACAGCTGAAGTGCCTCTCTAACTCCATGAATTCGCCGAATTTCTCAGAGCCTTGCCTGGGCCCCACTGTGGGGTTCTGCACATCTTCTCTCGATCGCGGAATCCGAACCTCTCAGCTTTGCAACGGCGCCAAGGCGGCCCACGAAGATGCTCCAAGCGGAGGTTGCCCTCGAGGACCGACATCTGGAGCTTGTGCAGCCTCATGCATCATAACGGGCCATTACCAGCCTCATGTAGAAATCTCATAGAGCAAAGAGGCTAGGAGCTACTCGAGATGGCACCCTTCACCGCAAACCCCAAAGCTCGAGCTGTAAAAGCACTCTGCCGCTGCTGGCTTGAGCAGACCTGATGGGAATATAAATCTTCCCACTGGGCAGGCCTGGTCCCTGATTCAGCCGAGCGGCACGAGCGTGCTTTTTCCTCAGCTCTTGCAAGAGGGAGCATTGACATCAATCCTGCTTTGTGACAGGCCTGCCCCCGCGCTTGGTGCGAGGCACCTCCGGACCTCCGGTCTACAACGACGTCACAGTCACAGGGTTCATGATAGCTCCCGCGTCCATTTGCATCCTGTTCCCAGTACATGTTCGAGTGCACTGGACATCACCCGAATGGCGGCTGCAGTTTGCCACGTCTCGATCGTCTTCAGCTCGGTGACGACAGTTTCGACCAGGCCGCTCGTCAAAATTGGCAGAGCCTGCATTGCACACAGTGTATCGCAGTCGACAGGCCATCTCGATCTGCTCTGCGCCGCAGATTGGCACCACAGGCTGCGACCGTGTCTCCTTGCCTGGCCCATGTAATTCAAAAGGCAGGAAGCAGAAAGCGTTTTGGCCCATGTCGCAGATGGTAGCTGACGGTAGTGACGCCTGTAAAGGAAGCGAGTTCACATGAAGTCCTCCTTCAGGCGATGTCGAGTTTCTAAGCTTCTGGCGGGCCCTCAGCGAGGCCAGCACCGCAGCACATTTTCCTGAGCTGGTGGGCGCACTAGCTGTCTCCGATTCCTGTCATGTTGGACAGGCACAAAGCTCTCACGGCAAGCCGTATAGCGAAGGGCCGCAACCCCAAAGTGGACCGGCTTACTTGGGTGATCTAGAGACCCCGCGCCAGCTGCAGCCGCACTCACGGTGGCATTGTAGGAAGTCATCAGAACAAGTGGCTGCCTGAATATGCCTGAATTCGAAGCAGCAGTGCATCGGAGGCCAGTGTCCGAAGCCTGAACCTTGGCGCCAACAGCGAGCAGATGGGCGGAGAGTCTGTCACGTCACAATCGGTGGTTCCTCCGCTGTTCAGGCTGAGACCGATGCCGTGCTGACATGTGAAGGAATGCTCCGCTCCCAGTGCGAGAGATGTTTGGGGCTGCATCCGTGGCTGCTTCGTCTTAAATTCACCTGAATTTGAACATCCTCTGGGCTTGAACAGCTCGCTCGCTTGCTCCCTCCCCTCCCCTCCCCTCCCC